AAACCACAACCGCGGGTGGGGTGGGGCGCAGGGCGTGGGGGAGGGCCGAGGGGCAGGGATGGAGGCAGGAGGGGCTGGAGGCAGCGGTGGGATTGGGGGGCAGAGGGGCATCACCCAAGCTGGGCCGCTGGGGCCAGGCCCGAGGGTGCTGGGGTCACCGCCACTGCCCTAGGTCACTGCACCAGGTGCAAGGGGCGGCCCTGGATCACCCACCAGATGCAGGGGGGCAGCTGGGGGGACGCGCAGGCCTGGACCCCGAGCTGGGACGTCTGCAGTGACGGCCACGTCCATCCTGCCCCCATGTCCATCCTGGCAGCCCTAAGCCCCACCCTCCTGCCCTGGGCCCTCCTGCAGCCTGGTCGCCCCAGGGGCAGTGTGTGCGCACAGGGTGTGTGTGCACAGGAGTGTGTGTGGGGCAGTGGGTTCCCATGGGTGCCATGTGTGTGCATGTATCTGTGTATGTGTGTGTTTATGATGGGGGGGTTGCATTGTGCATGGGACGGGGAGCTGTGCCCCTACCTGGCAGTGCCCAGATTGTAGGGCAGGGCTCTGCGTACATGCGTGTGCATGAGACGTGCCACTGTGCACATGGGGGGAGGTGCCCGGGGGGGGTCTGCATGCTGGCACCAGGGCCTGCAGGCATGTGCATGCACCAGCGGTGCACACTGCTGTGCACGGGGGGCTGCACCCTGCTCATGAGCACACACAAGGCAGACCCTCCGTGTGCACAGGGAGCTGCCTGCACGGGCAGGGGAGTGCCCAGGCAGCGTGTCCAGGCGGGGGGGCTCCGCCCGCAGCAGTTGCTCCATCTCCCCCTTCCTGTTTTGCCGGCGGTTTGGCGCGCACAGCACCCTGCTCCTGCCACGAACCCGCGTGGCCCCGGGGCCTGGCTCCTGCCGGCCGCCACCAGGGGGTGCTGCTGCCTCTGCCCCCATTCCTCCTGCCACAAGTGTCTCCTGCTGGGGACAAGGGGCATCGCTGGCAGCCCCCCCAACCACCCAGGCTTGAGAGCTGCACCTGCCTGGGGCCTCACCAGGACGCACAGACAGCACCGAGGCCTGGAGCCAGGCCGTGGCATGGACACGCCAGCCACAGGCAAGGCAGGGCTGTGGCATGGGACACGCCAGCCTGCAGTGACATCAAGCCACACACGTGCCAGGGGCCCGGGAGCGTTCAGCGGACACGGACACAGACAGCGTGCGGGCCACGGGCATGTTTCCATCGCTTTATTTTGCAAAAATAGAAAAGTGCTGCCCGGGCGGGCAGGGGGCAGGGGGCTGTAAACGTGCCGGGGCGCGGCCCCCCCGGCTGGGGGCGCTGGGCTGCCCTGGGGCTGCGGGTGGGCTCCTCGCAGTACTGGATGCAACAGGGGGACAGCGGGGACCCCCCTGGCAGGCTGGGGATGGGGGGGCGCCGCATCCCGTGTAAACTCAAGGGAATAAATAACCTGTGCATAGCGTTGCAGCACCCCCCCCTTGCACCCTCCAGCTTGTAGTGTAGCAGGTCGGGACCCCCAGGCCCCCCCAGGGCAGGACCAAGCCAGAGGCTGGGGGAGGCAAGGCTCAGCAGCCCCTGGGAGCTGCAGACCCTGGCAGGCTGGGGATGGGGGGGCGCCGCATCCCGTGTAAACTCAAGGGAATAAATAACCTGTGCATAGCGTTGCAGCACCCCCCCCTTGCACCCTCCAGCTTGTAGTGTAGCAGGTCGGGACCCCCAGGCCCCCCCAGGGCAGGACCAAGCCAGAGGCTGGGGGAGGCAAGGCTCAGCAGCCCCTGGGAGCTGCAGAGTGGGGGCATGTGCCAGGAGGGGGGTCCTTGGGGAGTCCGTGTTGGAGGAATCCCCCTGACCCCCCCCCCGGTCCCCTTGGTCCCATGTCCCTCAG